TTGTTTTAATCATAATCAGTATAGGCATAAGGTATTCATGATTATTTTTCATATTTTGGAAACTAAAAAATGGTTTATGATAATAAAATACATTAAAATCGTACAAACATGTCTGATTTTAAGTATACGTCTATAGAATTCCTCCTTTAAATCTTTTGTCTTTCATTTAAACTCTTTTCCCTTTCAAAATATTTATGGATTTTATTTTAAAAGGAACAAATTTAGCAAAAAGAGTCTAATTTCCAGCACATATTCGCCACATATCCCCTAAAAAGTTGCATTCACTATAGAAATCAACACAAGGAATCAAAATTTATAATTTTATATCTCTAAATCCCCAAGATTCTAAAATAAACTATTCATTACCATCATCATATGATTAAAAGTTATCCTCTAATAGCAACTTAAAACTATTCTTTCCAACTGGCGATTAAAATGAAAAAGTTTTCTTTTCAGTTAAATCAGGAAAAAAAGATAATGCGCAAACATATTCTCCTTGATAAGCAGTATAAGCAATTGAGCCAACAAGTAAATCATCTCGATAAACAGATACACCTTCCAAATCCCAAGAATCAAATTTAGCTATAGTAAACGAGAATATTAATTTCTTTCTGGTGGACAAGGAAATATTTTCCAGATCTAATAACTTCCTGTGAAATCTCCAATATAAAGTTTTCCTTGGCATTCAATTACTTTATTTGCATTAGTCCATCCATTGTTACTACAATCAGTTCCAGGGATTTATTTACAACCTTCATCTAGCAAAAAAGGGTGCATAAATAAAATTTTAATAAAGGAAACCCCAACCATTTTTTAAAGTTAAATAATAATTAAATAAATAAACTGGATAGATTTCAGGAGGTCTATAGTAATATAGAATTTAAATAGAAAAAGATACCCACTATATTTTTGACTGTTTATTAAAAAGTACATAATTTCGATCTATATATACTTATAGATCACTTTAGAAATACAAAATTCAGATGAATATCCCAGAATTTTCAATTTGTTTCAATATGAAAAATTAAGATTTTTGGTTAAAGTTGAAAACAATTTGTATCTCATATTTTTGTTTATGAAATTTCTGTTTAACCTGTTTAGGTTCTGCAACCAATCCAAAGTTCTCATAAATTATTAATTATATATAATTATTTATAATTAATAATTTCCATAACCTATTAACTATAAAGTAATTAAATTTTTTGTTTTAGAGTTACCATTTCATTATGCCTAATCCAAAAGTCTTAATTTCACTAAATTAAATATATTACTATGCTTAGTATGACCTAAGATAAAAATTCAAATTTTTAAAAATATTATGAGAAGTCAGAAGATTACTTTTTGGAGAAAAAAATGGCAATAATGATGTATTTATTGATATAATTTTTTTCAAGTTAAGTTCTTAATTACACTATTAAAAATACATCATTACCTTGAGCGTATGAGTATTTTTATTTTTTACTTTATTTTAGCAAGATAATTTAATTATATTAAAATTTAATTGAGTCATTAGTCTTTTTAACTATATTATTTCAACTAGACATTTTTTTTTAGTAATAAGATTAACTGTTGATGAAAATTATATAACACCTTGAAATAATTAGTATAGATAGTTTAATTACTGTAAATTTTACAATTTGTTTTACTTGAATATGAATTATTAACAACTCCATTTCAATTAGAAAATTAATTTCTATTATTTAATCAAATAACAGACATAAGATTCTTTAAGTGTAACTAAGAGAGTAAATTTTCCAAATAACAAGAATTAAATATCAGTTGAATAAAATATTTATTTTTGTCCAATGAAGTATAATTTCGACTTAATGCGACAGTATAATTAATTAAGTTGAAAGTTTATTTGAAAAGATTTCTATTAATTTAACTTCTAACTTATATAATACTTGGTTAATTTTTAATTTATCCAATAAGCTTTTATTTTGATAATTCAGAAATAAAATTTATTCTTTTTCATTATAAATAACTTGATGAAAAATATATTAATTATTGGATAATGAGAAAGAATGAATTAAGTTTATTTTCAATCAAATCATTTTAATAAAGAGAAAAAAGGTTTCTTTTTTGATTAGTTGACATAATTGACCTGAAAGTTTCTTTAGTACAAAAATCTCTTATTATATCATTAATTTTTATTACCCATAATTTTCTAATATACTAATTATTTCTATGTTGAGATTATTGAAGTTATTTTCTTTATCTTTCAAATTCCATTTTAGGTTTGAAATTATTTTTATNAGCGTATGCGTATTTTTATTTTTTACTATATTTTAGCAAGATAATTTAATGATATTAAAATTTAATTTAGTCATTAGTCTTTTTAACTGTATTATTTCAACTAGAAAATTTTTTTTAGTAATATAAGATTAACTGTTGATGAAAATTATATTACACCTTGAAATAATTAGTATAGATAGTTTAATTACTGTAAATTTTACAATTTGTTTTACTTGAATATGAATTATTAACAACTCCATTTCAATTAGAAAATTAATTTCTATTATTTAATCAAATAACAGACATAAGATTCTTTAAGTGTAACTAAGAGAGTAAATTTTCCAAATAACAAGAATTAAATATCAGTTGAATAAAATATTTATTTTTGTCCAATGAAGTATAATTTCGACTTAATGCGACAGTATAATTAATTAAGTTGAAAGTTTATTTGAAAAGATTTCTATTAATTTAACTTCTAACTTATATAATACTTGGTTAATTTTTAATTTATCCAATAAGCTTTTATTTTGATAATTCAGAAATAAAATTTATTCTTTTTCATTATAAATAACTTGATGAAAAATATATTAATTATTGGATAATGAGAAAGAATGAATTAAGTTTATTTTCAATCAAATCATTTTAATAAAGAGAAAAAAGGTTTCTTTTTTGATTAGTTGACATAATTGACCTGAAAGTTTCTTTAGTACAAAAATCTCTTATTATATCATTAATTTTTATTACCCATAATTTTCTAATATACTAATTATTTCTATGTTGAGATTATTGAAGTTATTTTCTTTATCTTTCAAATTCCATTTTAGGTTTGAAATTATTTTTATTAAATTGGCTCATTATTAAAATGTGTTAATGATTTAATGCAAATCAACAAATCTCAAACTAATAAACCCTAAGTTAAGGATACTTTATGGTTATGCTGAATCTAAAAATTCTGAATATTATTTTTTTTTAATTTTTAAGATAATAGGTTAAAAACTGTTATATAAATTGAGGCTAAGTAACATACATAAAAGTTATTTAAGGAATTTAAAATATGTTAGAGAAAATTACATTGTTATCTGATTTTTACAATTGCAATAAGAATCAAAGGGAAATTTTGTTTTAACCATAGTCCTCTCTCATCCAAAGATTTAATTATTCTAATCTATGTTTAGAGTTAGAAAACTATAAGTAATATTTCAAGTATAAAGAAATAAATGAACCTAGCTAAATAAAATGGCAAATTTACAAATATAATTTTATTACTCTCATAATATTTCAGATTAGAATCTTATTTAAAAATTACATCATGGTTGATACTAACTTAAGCTTAGAGAAGAAAATACATACTGATATTGTGAATTAGTAATATTAAAAAGAAGAAACTAGAAATCCGAAAACATAAGTATACATTATATTTTTGGTCTAATCCATAAGAAATACAATCCAAAATTTGTTTGAATAATAATACTTTCATAGTAATCAAATTTTTTTTTCATCCATTTCATCCTCAAAGATTAACTTAATTGATCAAAATCTTCCACTATTTTAATAAACAAACAAATAGGGATATCAACCCGTATCAAATAAAAGTTAACAATTAAATTATGGTCAAACCATGGGAAAATTCTAATCTGAAAGCCAATCAAGGAAGTCTCTAAGAAGGTGACCTTCACACTTTGAAATGATAAGATAATCTTATTATCCAGAACGTAGTCGCATGAAATCAGAGAGTCGTAATTGAAAGTACTCATTCTTCGGACCTTAAATTAATAAGCTGAAACACTAGGTCTATGTAATGGAAGAAATTATAAATTATTAGATAACATAACATGGCCCTCCTCCAAGAAGCCTGATGTCATCCTGATAATAAATTATGGATCTTCCAAAATAGGTTCTAGAGCTTCACAAAGCAGAGAGTTGAACCTCTTTAACGACTCTAGTGGTCAACAAACTAATTTGGGAAAGAAGATAGGATCTAGAGACCTAAAATTTATCATTATTTTAGTTAATATTTATCTTACCTACACAACAAAAACGAAATTAGAACTAATAGTATAGAAATTGGAAACTTAGCTGTAATTATTAGAGCGGATTTAAACTCAACAATTAAAAAAATTTATTCATATTTTAATATTTTCACTGACATGATAATTAGATAAGGTAAATCTGTCTCAAGAAAATAATCTGACTATATGATGGATTCAGATTATTTAGATCCTCAGAAACTAAAAAATCAATAATAATGCAATTATTCCAAATGAATTACCTATGAAGTTCTACAGAGACTTTTGGAGAACTATGAGGATAATTACTTAATAATTATGGTTCTCATTACCTGAATGATGCTGGTTGTGGATTTATTATCAGATAGCTGAAAGTCTAAGTTTTAGATTATAAACATGAATCTAAGATATTAGATATAGAATTTAAATTAGAAGCCTAAAAGTAGATTACGCTTGATTTAAGTGATTATCTCCAGTCTTAAATAAAAGGAAGGCTGAAGGACAGTTTCTGACTATATTCGGAATAGGTGGGGTCTGGTTGTATACCCTAAAATTTATTATGACATAATTGGTAACGAGCTTGTGAACTTTCATCTTGCATAGTTATTATTTATTGCATAATCATCGATTTATCTAAATGGACTTAGCAAAGTCAAAATACCAATATAATATTTTCTCAATCAATAAAACCATCCTTATAGATAATTCTTTTTTTTATTGGATCTCTTTTATTTTTGTATTAATTCATGTACAATTGTCTCAAATCATTAACATATTTATGTATTTAGGAGGAATTTTATGGATAGAGTTTCTTTGAGTGTCTATTTAATTATAAAACCTTTACTTAAAATAATCATTCCAATCTTTTTCATATTTAGGTGTCTTAAAGGATTTAATTGCATTTTCAGGGTTGAAAATTTAGGTTTATCATAACAATCGTAGTCGTGTAGTTCCTATAAGCAGTTTTAAGCTCCATTTTTTATGCCTTTGATAAATATTTCCCTCTTATTTGTGAAATTAAAAGTTGAAAACTTGATAGAATTAATCCTTATTTTAATCGTTACCAGTTTTTAGTTTAATAAAAAAATAATGTCAAATACAAATTTGCTATAATGAAGTTTTTTCAATAATTTCATCTACATTTAAAGAAATAGAAGATAATTAGTTTCTAATTTTTAATTAAAATTTATGTTTACTTGGTTGTTATTTTTCTGCAATTTCCTGTAGGATAATAATTAGCAGATATCTTGTCTTCTTTATTAAACATCTCATGTATTTTAAAATTAGAATCTAACCAATTTACAAACTATCCTTAGTATAAAACAATATAGGACTGCTTTTATTAGAATTACTGTAATAAGTTTAAAGATTTTTCCAAAAAGAGTTGGATATTAAAATAATCCAAACTTCACTATTGTAAGAAATATAGGACCCAATAAAGTTAATCCATCAGCGATTGATAATAATAAGTAGTTTGAAACCTATATAAGTATTCAAATAATAAAATTTCATAAATATATTTTATGTAATGTATGTCCAAAATTATTGTAAAATTTGAAATGGAATAAAATGATAATTATAGACTGAAAAAATAAAAAGCCAAAAGTTATTTATAGTTGACTTTATTTCAAAATTTCATCATATAAAATAAGATTGTTATTGTTATTTATAATCCTTTAATTAATATATTTGGTTTTAAATTGTAAACAAAACTTATAGTTTATAAATGAAGTAATTACCTAATTTCAAATAGCTGTCTTGTAATCCTTTAATAATCTTTGGGTTATCGAGTGGTGAGTAGGTCAGTCATTTAAGTATTGAAATAACAATTATCTAAGACCATTTCGGGATTACAAAATCAATAGAGAAAAATTGATAAATTTTTAATATTTAATTATTAATTCAGAGATGCTGTCATAAATTTATAACTTTAATTGTCGATATTTTTTTTTGGTATTTTAATTTGAGTAAAAGTTTCTTTATTAGACCTCAGTGGCACATTAAATATGTTATAAAATCTGTTTGCTGATATTAATAATTAAAATCACAGCTCGATTCATAAAAAAACGTATTAAATCCCTATTCTTATATTTCGTCTTTAGATTTAGAAATAAGTTATAATTTTATATTATTATGAAGAAATCTTCATTGATTTAGGTATTGTTTTTGTTATGCTTGCCACAAGGTAACGATAGATTTAATAGATTTTTAGCTTAACAATATTTTTGACTTCGAAGGAGTAATAAAATTACATTCCCTTCAAGAATTGTATAATTTGGATACAGAAAGCCTAGATTGTTCTCCAAGCCTGGAATAAGTGAGCAAGTCTATGGAAGCTTGGCAGGAAATTCTTTCTAACCCTGATTAGATAGAGAATGATATTGATCAGTTACAAAAACTTTAAATTGCTGTGCATGATTACAGAGAATCAGAAGGGTAGAAGAAAAGTATACATAATTATATATTTTAGCTTTGTTAGAATATCATAGGACAAAGGGTTATTGTGCATTTGTGGAAGAAAGAGATTCCTTTTTCCACTAATGGAGAGAATATGATCAAAATTAATTAGATCGTTAAATAACATTATTAGATGCTGCTTCCTCATAAAAAGATGCAGATTAATGTTGTGATAAAATTGGGGAATTAATTAATAAGATCTTAAGTGAAAGAGAATAAATAAGAGACTAATTTAAAAAATCGTCGGTAATTATTAAATCAAATATCTAGATTAAAATTAATATCATAAATTCTTAATCTGATAGAGTGCAAAATAAAGTTGAATCATGTTTTCAGAATGGTGCTGTATTAAAAGAAAATTAATAATAAGTGTTTATCACACCTGAACAAAGGAGGTGCTTCTGAATTTGAAAAAGAACCGGTTAGTGCTTCAGCATTAGTTAGTTCATCTGATTCTGAAGATGATGAGGAAACTTTGAATAAAAAATAATCATCAGATTTTACAGAGGATAAACCTATTAAAATTACAGAAGTTGATGAGAAAGGAGAGGACTTGCTCGAATATGGATATGGTTATTGGGCTAGATTTATGTTGGCTTATCCAAAGTTCATGCCTAAAGGTAAAAATGCACCATGGTACTTTGTTTCAAGATTGTCTGCTAATAAGAATACGGCTGATCTTATTATGGGAGACAGGCTATTAGCTATATGGTTAGGTAAGGGGTTCTATCATTTCGCAACATGTGATTAACCAGAAATTCAACCCAATATTGTGAAGAATGTTGATTACCCAGTAAATTTGCATAGTATTTGGACATACATTTACTATTCATATAGTACAGAAAAGAAAAAAGCAGTTGCTTATATTACATTTGGAGAAATGATTTTAAGAAAATTTAACATTAAGTTATCCATCCAACAACAAAATTTGTTAGATTTACTGTTGGTGGTACAGATAATAAGAGAAACCCAGGATTTAATGGTTTATTAAGTGCAATATATTTCAGCACTAAGAAAGGAGTCTACATTGATAATTTTGAAGATATGTAAGCCAAATTATAGTCCATGAAAAGAATACCAAAAAAAATTATTCCTGACAATGTTACATATAAAGTAACAACCAATCCTATCTCAAGAAAATCTGAAGACAGAGAAATACATTAAATTATTGGTACCACTTCAACTCCTAAATTTCCTCATGAGTATGGCATAAGTGGATGGTTCAAATGGATGCCAACTAATAAATAACAAGATTGGCATACCATCTTCAGAGTTTAGATTCAAACTCCATCAACTGACATATATTTAGGAGATAGAACCTCATCAGCTTGGGTTAGGAAATCAGATGGAGGCAATATTCATTTACCTACTTACACTATAACAGACCTTGAGGGTAATGGGAATGCGAATCTTTTTAAAAACATTCCTCATAAAAATAGACATAATCAATGGTTCTTTCTTTACTTTGGATACTCTAGACCATTATAAAAGGCTAAAGCTTACATCAAATGAACAGATTCAGAAGATAATTAAGAATATGAAAATATTAGACTTTTCACTGTTCCTAAATTTTACATTTTTGTTGGATAGATAAACATTTTCCAGGATTCAATGGAGAAATTGCTATGGTTGCATTTAATATTGGAGAAGGTTCATTTCGACCAGGAAATGAGTTCAGGGCTAAAAACGATGCTTTCAATATATTAATTGGATCAAAACAATTGTTAGGAAAATAGCTAGATGACCAAGTTAAGGAAAAAGATGATGGTGATTATGATAATGGCATAACTATTACAAGTTCTACTGATGATAATAAACCTTAAATTGATGAAACAAAAGAATCTTAAGAATACTTAGCAGAATATGGTTATGGATTTTGGGCGAGATTTTTAACTGCTTATCCAGTTAGATTACTTGATGGAAAGAATGCTCCATAGTACTTCATCTCTAGATTGACATCTAACTCAAACTATGGAAATATTGCTATGGGAGGTAGAACTTTAGCTATTTGGTTAGGACAAGGATTTTATCAATTCACAACATGCGATAAGAAAACTAATAATCCAAACGTTATGTAAAATATCGATTTTCAAAATGATATTGAAGGTGTTTGCCAGGGTTTAATGGTTTACTCAGTTAAATCGTTTTCTCTGTAAAAAATGAAGCCTTCTTGATACTGAAGATGATTTTCATAATCACATCTCTAAAACAATTATCCCAGTTCATGATTTGGATGGATAATATCAACATGAATTAGTTGAAGATACTATTTCAAGAAAAGTCAATGAAAATCCAATTTATGATGAATTAGGTGGTGGAGCTTAAAGTTTCCCATATGAATATGCAATAAGTGGTTGGTTCAGATGGGAAAAAACTTAATAAGAAGTTTGGCATAATTTTTTCGAAGTTCAAATAAGCAAACCATCAACTGATAAATTCTTAGGTGACAGAACTCTTTCATTCTGGATTAGTACAGCTTAAGGTGGTATATTACATTTCCCAACTTACACATACACGAATATGAATGGAGCTGGTGATCCAAATCTGGGTGGCAATATTTTTCACAGAGATAGACATTTGGAATGGTTTTTTGTTTATATTGGATACTCTAAAATGAGAAAAAAGGATTTGTTGGAGTGAAATTCACAGGAGGCATTGAGACAATTGAATACAATAATGTCAATCATTACTACACTCCTTATTTCTACAGATTCATTGGCAAAGATAAACAAAACCCAGGATTTAATGGTAAAATTGGTTATGTTAGCTTTGTTTTGGGAAGTGGTACTTTCAGAAAGACTCCTTTTTTTAAGCATCTTAAAGATATTGTTGGATTTGAAAAAGGATAATCAACTTTAGTAATAAAGAGAGATTAAAAGAAACGATAACCTATTACAGATGAAACTGGTCAATAATAATTTCCAAGTGCATACAATCAAAATAGTCCTTAAATGGTTGAAGAATTCAGATCTGAAGTTTCATTTACTGAATATGGATATGGATTTTGGGCAAAATTTTTAACAGCATATCCTGTCAAATTACCTAATGGAAAGAATGCTTCTTGGTATTTTATGGCAAGATTGACATAACATGAATATTATGAAAATATAAGAATGGGAAACAGAATCTTAACAATCTTTTAAGGTTAAGGATACTATCATTTCGCGACCATTAATATCCAGACAGATGATCCTGTGATTAGAAATATTAACTATCCTGCTGATATTGAAGGTATTTGGACACATTTCTATTTCTCTTACTCAAATACAGGAAAGGCTGTTGCAATTGTTAAATTTGGTGAATTGGATCCAGTATTAGCTGAATTCCCTGTAAAACACCCAGATTTGAAATATCTTAAATTTATTTTTGGAGGAAAAGATTAAAATATATATCCAGGTTTCAATGGATAATTTACTTAAGTATTCTACTCAACATCAGTTGGTGCTTTTATTGATTCCGTTGATAGTTATAATAAATTCCTTGCTGATAAAACCTCTCCACTTAAAGGCGGAAAGGTTTCGCTCTCGACCACAAGAATCATTGATTCCTAAATTGATAGATAAGTTAACTCAGATCCATTCAAGACCACAGTAGAAACAATCTTCCCTAAAGAATATGCATTTTTTGGCTGGTTCAAATGGACAAGACCTACTACATTATCACCTTGGCATAATCTTTTTAGAGTTTAAATTAACACACCATCCACAGACAATGATTTGGGAGATCGAACTTTGGCTGGTTGGGTAGGAAATGGAGGAATAATCTATTTGGCAACATACTCATACAGAAATATGAATGGAGATGGATTAAATAATTTACCATAAGAAGCTTGAGCATAAATTTACAAAAATTAAGGAGTTTGAAAAGTATGAAGATATGATGACCTTGGTAAATCTAAATAAATTAGTGGAAACTCCATATATGATGGAAATTATAGTGTAAGTGTTGCCCAACATGATTCTTAAAGCAACTGAGATTAATAAAATTAAATAAACATTCTTGAAGAATTTTTCAAAGATTTTGAAAGAATTCATCATAAGTAAATACAGAATTCAGATGTATAAATCACAATAGAAAAGGCATTTGTTGGTGTAAATAAATGAAGTTAATAAAGAATTTGAAGCAGAAATTTAAGTTGATTATGATGAATCCTTGAAAGTTACCCATAAAGATTTATAAAATTTGGAAACTATTGATTACCATTACATTGCTCTGGAGTTTGGAATATTTTAGAAGACAATTCAATCCCTTAATAATTGTAAATCTCTTAAGAATCTGAAGAAGTGCATAAATAACTTTAAAAAATATTTGAAACTAATCTTTAGTTACCAAATTAGGTATTAAAGAAAATAAAAATTTAATAGGAAGAAATAATCTAATTTGTCAATGATACATTAAAAGAATACAATCTTACGATTTATGACTTTTATTGTGAGTTTATAAATTATTACCACTTGAAATAAATCGAAAAATAAAGAAACTTAGGAAAATCAATAGATACTGATCGTTTTCTGCATGATCAATTAGAATACTCAATTAGATTTGCAAAAACAATGAGTAAGAATGAATTGACATAAGTTTCATATAAGTAGTAAGGATTTTTATATTAAAACGAAAGGAAAGAAGAACAATGGCTAAACGAATTTTTTAATTATGATGATTAATATGGAGCTTATAAAAAAGATATACGAAGTTGCTCACTTGTCTAATAAAAAGGTGCTAATTTTTAATTTACCCATAAATCTATATAAGAGTTCTTAATTGCGGCTGATTTATATGAAGTGTTAGTTGGATCAAAAGATTATGATATATAAATATTGAATACTATATTAGAAATATTGTCAAAAGAAAATAATCAAGATTAGGATTGCTTAAAGTTTCTGGAAAATATAGATGTAAAATATTCTTAGACTTTGAATTAAATTGAAAATATATCACTTTTTGAAAAATAAAAATAATTTGATACTTTCAAAAATACAATTAAATCAATTACTCATTTGATCGAAACCATTAAAGAACATGATATTAATTCTGTTAATTATTCCACTGAAATCTATGCTGAAACAAGATAATATCTCATTAAAAAATATCATAAGAGGTTAGGATAATAGAATTTTTGAAACTCTTAGTTCATATCCTAAGATAGATAATGAATTTATAATAAGCGGTTCTAATGCAATTAATATATTGGTTGAAATGTAGGTGGATCTAAGAAACTAAAATTTTGAAAATATAAGAATATAAAATACTAATATATTTGGAGGTAATTTTTCTAAATGTAATTTATCTAAGTCTTAATTTAAGAATGTGAATATCAATGGAATTAATTTAAATGGAGCTTAATTATTTGGATGTAATTGGTAAGATTTAAAAATAAACGATTTATATTAATTAGATGGTCATACTAATTGGGTCTACTCAGTCTGTTTCTCTCCTGATGGAAATACATTAGCTTCTTGTAGTAGTGATAAGTCTATCCGTCTATGGGATGTCAAAACAGGATAATAAAAAGCCAAATTAGATGGTCAT